TGAGGAAACAAGGTATGCAAGTTGTTTATCTTCAGTTTCGATTCAGTTTCATGTTATTCTTGCTACAACTAGCCTACATCGAAAACAATTCAAAAGGTTTTTTTCCGCGGAGGTCATTACAGACTAATCGACCTTACTGAGGAGGTTGATACCAGATTTGTTTTATAATAGCTAACATGCACGAGCAGTCCGCATATCAATCGGCTTTGCATGACCTAACTGGCTAGGGTTCGGTCTTTACGTGGCAATAAAAACTGTCAATAAGTTATTATGTCATGTCGGCTTGGTAATATACGAATGTTCGCTTGTCGACTCTCTTAGTTACCGTTACAAAAGCGTGTTCTTTCAGGCTAGTATGAGTGTGTGTGTGTGTGGTAGTTTTTTAAAATTCAATCCCGTGTGACTCGAAACAATCGATAATTTTTTCATCAGGCCACCGGATTTACAGAATGTTTCAGACGTTCGTAAAAGTCTGAAAGGTACCTTTATTTAAAGTAACTCGTCTTTTTTATATCTCCACAATACGATGAATGAATTGATGATATTCCCTCTTCAAGATTATTCTCTTATTTTTGAACTGTTATCGGTTGCCACCTTGTAGATATTATATGACCTTATATATGTGCCTGAATAAAAATGCGACATTCTGAGTGATAATTGCTGGTAATTTTGAGATCTAGCGTGCTTGAAATTTTAGTTACTTAGCTTGTCTTTGATTATGAGCAGACTGAAAACGCATTAAAATTTTGACCAGCAAATACTGTGGGAAAAATTCATTTACACCACCTCGCGGCAAGGAATATTTCGGGCTATTTGGAGGAGAAATATCAAAGTTCTCCTTTCTCAAGGGTCATACTAACTTGTAGATTTATCCAGCCGATAATAACAGAACTTATACCCAGGCCACGCTGGCAAATAGAAACATCTGACAATATGTTCATATCTTTTTTCCAATCAGCCCACCGGCTGGCTCGTGAATTGGCCTTTCATAGGACTACGTTAAAAGTTAAAAATTCCAGTTGTATTCCTTTAATTAAGGCCAGCACCTCCCGTCTCGTTTTTTTAAAGGCTTCAATTATGATTCATTTTCACTCCCGGCTGTGAAATTATTAAAGCCGGGATGTTCTGGTGAAAGCTATTTAAAATTTTATGATCCTTTGTTATTGAATTTTATATTATAGTATTAGGTTTTGTGGGTCACGTAGTTTAAATATATTTGAGCAAAACCTCGGCTTTCAATTTTCTTGATGAGTTGCCAAACATCATCTGATATGAAGAGACCGATGAATTTATTGACAAAAAATGAATATGCTACATGAGTGACTGATTCATTCCAGTTTTTTAGGCGTTGCTGCCCTGAGTGAAAAGATAAAAGTTATAATAAGAACTAAAACCGAAAATACATTTTAAGAGCAACGATATTCTAAAATTGAACACTTATCAGCGATTTTAAGAATCTACAAATCAATTATGTCTTGTATTGGAGGAATGAACAAATTATGCTGGAATGCCCGCACCATAGCCTAAACTTTCAACGAAACTATAATGACATATGATTAAGAATATTGGTCAAAAATTTATAACTTCAAGCTTTTTATGGTATTACCTACGCAACTTATTTGCTTATTTGGAAAACAAAATCATTCTTTTTCTGAATTTTCCATTTCAGTCTAGAACCTTCTTCTCCCCTACCGGCCCTAGATTCTGTTAGGTCAGAGCAAGCGAGTCAATTCACTGTACTCGGCTTTCTATTTCATTCTACTCTTCTCTTCATTCTTTACGGATTTTAAAAACATTAAAATGTTCAGTTTGTGTACTTAAGAGTTCGTATCGCAAAAGTATCAAACAATAAGCATTTTCCAAATCCAAAATGATGTAAAATATTCGACAAATTCTGTTATTGGCATTGCTCTATCGTGTCGATTTTCAAACCTGCCGCGGGCCACAATTCTGCTCAAAGTGCTGATCAGTTTCATCAGCGTTTTAATGTTATCGCTTCCGTCGGATTTGCCGAATTTATTTGATTGGAGTGATCGTGTGATAAGAGTAGTGGGTGCTAACTTTGAACATAAGGTTTAGCTTGGTTTTTATCAGGCACTTTATCAAAGGCAAACATTCATTGTAATAAAGCTAACTGATTGGCTATATCTTCACCGACAGGGCTGATTGATTAGTTCTTGAAGTGCGACCTCTGTTTTGTAACTACCTCTCCATAATGCGTTTGAAATTGGACTTTTCACCATTTAAAATGAAAAATGCAAATTGCAAAAAAGTTAATATACTAGCATTAACAGTCACTCGCAAAACAGTTAAGGAAATTCTTAAGGTTCGGTAAAAACCTTCTATGTTTAGAAGCTCAGCTTATAAACTTTTGCTTGTTCCAGTTAATGAAACGTTCCGTCATCTCTATCCATTGAAAACTAGTGTTATATCCGTTGTAAATTGAAGTTAGATTCACCCGGTTTGCCTTGTTTTGTTTTGCCGCATGTTCAGAAAATGGGTGAATCATTACAAAAAGCTTGTATTTTGTGCTTAAATGTCATTACAATAACGATACATGTAGTAACCATGAATCAACATCCTTCAGAGACACGAACAGTTCTAGGTCGTAAATATTTAAATGATATCGCCTATCACGAGTCCATCAATAACACCATACAGTGAAAAACCTGGTATGCCGTGCTGACATTATTTTTTATTTCATTTCAAAAATGCTCATGAAGACGACTTAAAAGCTGCTCAAATTCGTCGAAAACCAGACAAGGGGCAGATAAATAGGGTTGATAAATACCAACGATCCAAAAATACGAGTTGTTATTTTGACTGACTATTTTCATTGCAGCATTTAGTCGTGTTTCACACTTGAGTGCTAGGCACTGTGTGCTAGTTACTGTTCAGAATTGTCCTCGCTGCTGGTCGACATCGGATGCTCGCAGGCATTGGAAGGTAGGCAAATTTTGAAATGCGTTCATGAAGTTAATGAGGCAAAAATGCATTGGTTCAAGAATGCTTCCGTGCTACTCCGCGACTTTTACAGAAGTCAAAGTACCGCCAGCTGACAGCCTCGTTCAAACATAAAAACATGCTGTCAAATAGAGCCCACAACGATCACTTTAAAATTACCTAAGCCGCCAGTTCCTATGTTCTTTCCTCGGAGTTTAATTAGCCAGTAAACTCCTAATTAACAGTAAGCGCAGTTTGGGTCGTTTTTCTAAACGCTTACTCCTCTATATTACTCTTTGGAATGTTGGAGGACCCCAGGGAATTTGATTCTTGTTCTTATGGATTACAAAGTTTTTTTTACCAGCTTGAAGATCTTTTGTCCAGATTTGGTTTATTGTTTGTTCAGACCACAACGACAAACAAATAAGCAGAGATTAAACCGAGCATACCGTCATTTAATAAAGTACGTATGCAATGGTACCTAGGGGGGTAACAATCTGTGGATTTCTCGTCGGTCAGCATTAGAGCACTTACAGTACAAAGACGAAACGGTGACGAAGATTCTGATGAAAATGCTTGAGCTTTAACTGGGTGGCAGGAAGTAAAACTCGAAGTAATCAGATTTAAGTGACAGTGATTGTTATCCGGTCAAATAATGACCAGAAGGAAATTTGCATAGTGCCACTAGTACAATTTCTCAATATGTCATATCACTTTGGAAATATGGTACACAAGGAACTGCTTTATGTGTACTAGACTCTAAGGTAAGTGTAATTCTAAAGAGCTGACTATGATGCTTCACTGTGTATTGCTCTAAAAGAAGGGATGCTAAATGCTGCATTTGTTGTGTTCTTTGTTGTAAGGCTAGAAAAACGTAAACAAAAAGTGTACGCCATTACGCGGAGGTAATAGACACCAGTCATTTAAACCTGGGTTCCAAGAGTTCAAAATATAGGATCAGATCATATGCGACGACGTGAGACAGGGTTATTTGAGAAGTAGCACCTGTCTTTGATCAATGCCCTTGTTTGCAGGCTGTAAAATTACTATTGATTCTCGTCATCAATTGTGAACCATGACACAATGACACAAAGCTTGCTTGAAATTCCTTTAACATGAAAGTAAAAACTGCGTATTTTCAAGGATACCAGTTTTTCTGAGGCTCTTATTCTTTGGGAAATATAAAACGATGTATCAAATGTAACTTCTCCATTACGGTGATTCTGTCACTTTTGGAACCCTAAAAAGTCTTCACTCTTTTGACATGTTTGTCAAAGCTCAATTTTGTCTAAACCTTTTCCGCCAAATAGCATTTAGCCTACCATAAGTGAAAGGGTACTAAGAACATTGTAACTTTACACTTATAAGTAACCTTATGGTGTTGTTTTGATGGCCCTCGCTAATCCTTTTATCTTTATTTGGTTGTTTGGAAAAAGGAAAGAGGGAAGCTGAAAGTTTTGAAAATTAACACTAACTTATTCCCGATGTTTTTTCCCCAGCTTGATTTGGTGGAAGCAGGAAAAGGCAATAAACATCCGGACATACGTGCCATATTGCTTTCTCTGACGTGCGATGCGGATGTTGTCCTGAATTAACGGGTTTATTCTGGTCTCGTACGTGGGCTACGGGATAAAAGGAGCAGTACCATACAATTCACTCAGTTGCTTGGCATCTTTCCTTTGTAAGAGGTGCGTTCGTATAAAGTGTTATTTACTTTGCTGTCAGAAAATAAAGGAATATTGACACGAAAGGACGTTCGTTACTTGACGCTTTTGATCCGTCTGCGTCACAATTATCATCTTTTATCTTCTTGATCATCGACTTTTGAGGTTCTGGAACACGCGGGAATTTTACTCAACATAGCAGCGATCAAAGCTTTTCATAACTGGTTCACTGTATGGAATCCTCATCATCCTGAAGAGGCATTGGAGCTAAAAAGAGTCACAACCCTGACTTTCTTCACTGGACACTTAACATAACCATTCGCTGGCATTTGCTCAGACAGCTGTGAAATTGATTAAAATTTAACAAATCTCTTTAATGTCGAGACAAATAAAATGCCATTGACATCATTAAATGAAACCTCCGCATTAGAAGAGGAGTCACCGTCATTTCTGGACAGCTCACAAGGTAAAGCCACTCTTTGTGTTTACATATTAACGTTTATCTTGGGCTCAATTGGCAATGTCCTCGTACTGTTAGTAGTACAAGGTAAAAAACGTCGAACAATTAATGATTTGTTTATTGTAAATCTGGCGATATCCGATCTTCTTATGATTGGTTTTCTCCCTGTGTACACGGCTAGACTTTTCGTCAAATTTCACCATAGCACGGCGTTCTGCAAGACAATATCGCCGTTAGCCACCATGACGTTTTTTGTTAGTGTGTTCACCCTTACGTCCATGGCAATCCATCGATGTTATGTCATTACAAACCCATTTAAACCTGAGATACGTAAGTGGAAGATTATTGGCTGGTTAATTGGTTTATGGCTGGCATCTTTCCTGGCTGTGCTTCCTCTAGTGATTGTGGCTCAGGGTGATTTTGGAACAGAGTGCGACGAGGGATGGCCTTCTGAAAAGGGACGAAAGGCATACACAGCTTCCTTGTTCGTCCTGCAATATTCGCTTCCCTTGGCTGTCATTAGTGCCGCATACATAAGAATCGCAGTGGATTTGCTTAAATCGAGTACAGAGCGATTCGGACCTGGAAAAAGTCTCAACAATAATACCCGGCGTGTACGCAAAGAAGACATCCAGATTTTAAAAACGATTGCGGTTATTGTGTTAGTATTTGCAATTTGCTTGTTACCCGTTCAGCTTTCCTGGATGATGACTGATTTTGGTAGCGAAAGAGAGAAACAAATTGCAAAAGACGTGTTTCTCAAGTTCGATTTTCTTCTTTCTATTATTCATAGCTGCCTCAATCCGCTCGTCTATGGAACGCTCACGAGACGCTTCAGAAGAGGTTACATAAGATACCTAATATGTCTGTGTCCTTGCATCAAAATGCGTTTGGCTGATATCCAGAGCACGGCTGGTCCGTCACAAAATAACTCTCTACGCAAACAGAACGGTAAAGCTCATGTCCATGACCACGAGGACAAGATTTGGTTTGCGGTAAACGGAAGTCCTGAACACGAAACTAAAAGCACAGAAGTTTAACCCAAAGTGCAGAATAAAACATTAAAACTGTAGCCGAAGCTACTTCATGTAAGACGAAGCGTAACTTCATTTGGCACAAGGACTAATAGAGCCTTTTTACATGACGTCACCGCTGCCATATTTGTGTTCCAAAGCAATAAAACGGCGGCTATGTTGGCGTTCCAACCCAATCCTATGGGAGCTAAACTCTTTTCTTTTGTCGAGCGTTTTTAACATGAGCCTCTGGCTCGGAAGATTGTGTAAACACTTCCCACGTCTTCGACATTAAATAAATCATTCATTCATTCATTCATGTAAACGCTGGCCACGTGAGTAAAAACGCTCTTTAGCCTGGATAAAAAAGTGTTCGGTTAAATAAGATTGATTGGCAATATTTCTTGCCACTATGCTTAAAAGCATATACACCGAGAAGTCTTCTTGTGTTTAACGTATAATTATGGTCACGTGACATGACAGAAGGAAGTTTCTTTTGTATGGTTAAAACATTATTATATATTATATAATAATACTATTATTTTTAAAACACTGGCGTTGCTGATGGAAGATGATCATATTTTACTTTCTTCGTTTGGAATTAACGAACTCGAAGTTTGAAATTAAAGTTTTGAATAATTTAAGACCAAATGTCGGCTTTTGAAACGATGTTTGCCCTCATAATTTTGTATTGAAGTGAAATATAAAGTCATTCCAAACGTGAAGTTTAAGAAATAGTTAATAGAGAGATTAAGATGAACGTTTACGCCAGTTTGTACCACGTGACCAAATTTCTGTTTTTATCCCCTTATTTTCTTTTCTGAGAAATTCTCTACTTGAATCTGACTTTTGCCGTTTGCGATAAACGTGAATCTTAATGTCTCTAATATGAATCAGAAAACGCTATTGATTGATTTCTTTTAAAAAAACCGTCACCAATTCGTCAACTTATTGTTTAAGCTTTTCAGTAAAAAGGTTCACGTTACATGTCACGTGACCTACTAAAACGATAGTTGTATCTTAAAATGTTAGGGACGATGAGATCTTTCTGTTAAAATAATTGATTCATTTCCTTTCTCTTTTCCTAAGTTCAATCGTTTTTCTTAGGTAACCCATTAGGCCTCAAAATACTGTCGAGTCAATGATATTTTGCTTATATTAGTTTGCTAATAAAAGTTCTGTCATTTTATTTTTACTAATTTTCGCGACCACTTATAGCCATTTATGTCATTAATACTTAGTCTCTTTAAAACAATTTAAATTTTATGGCAGTTTTTCACGTAAAAATGATGCTAATACAAGTATCTATTACATACATTTTTACTCACTGAGTAAAAGCGAGGTACTTCCGATCAATTTCTCAATTACCCTTCGCACAGAATTCAACCGTTCGTTTAGTTGCAATTAACCCGTACCCCTCAAGGGAATTACGCAGTAACACCATCAAAGATATTTGCATATGTATGACTTTTAGAGTAAATGCATGTATGTATGTATCATTACATCTTTTTATTCCTCATCTGGTCACCTTTATCTTCTAATAAGATGAAAAAGTACTTAATTTATCTTATTTTTTCAAATTACCATTACTCTGACGAATTTGGCGCTGGTAATCACGTTCATATTTTGAAGCATGTTGTCGTTAGCTTGCTAATAGAGACCTTTAGATTCGAGGACGAGATCAAACTACGAGTACGAGATTTAAAGGGGCTTTAACTTAAAAGTTTTTTCGCGTATTCTCAAAAAATAGACTCCCCGGAAAGCTTCATTGTACTTTTTTTCTTTAGAAAAAATAGCGGCGTTATCTATATTGAAGGAGGTTAAGCCCTCTCGCGATCGCAAAATGATAAAACTTCTAGCATTTGATAACTCGTTTCCGCCATTACGACAATTCTCGCTAACATTCGTAGCAGAATGACGACGGCTACCAAGCTTTCCCGCCAAAATGACCCTGGTTCACGCTCGCGCACTACTTGAGAAAATTTCGTACTCGTAGTCGCACTCGTCTTAGAATCTAAAGTTCTCTATTATCGTCGGCTTTCCTTACCACACGAAATTTGCTTAAAAATCAATCTCTTGAACTTTTATGGTGAATACTTGATTGTTGTAGTTGAACATAACTGTATAACATTCGCACTTCATACCCATTAATTGCCCCGTAACGGGGCACTAAGCAGGGTCTTTACGATCCCACGACACGATGGCAGCGAAAAAGTCGCATAAAAAGTGAATTTACGTTCTTCCAGTCTTTATCGTGATTATTCCTACCCATTTACTTTTGTCAAAAGTAGGTGAACCGTCCCCCCTTCCGGAGTTGAATTGCTAAGATCCCTATCCAAGTTCAGAAAGAGAAATAAAATTTCGTGGTCGCTTGTTTACGTCGTCCATAAAATGTAATATTAAGCAATTTCATGTCGTAGTCACGTAAAAACTGCAAAGAAATTTACAAAAAAGTATGATGCACTTGTAAAGTTGTTGTTTTGCCCTCTAAACCTATTATAAAGTCCCTAGTTGCGGCTGTCTTTTGGACTGATAGGCATGCCGAATAATGAGGGTATGCGACGTCAACCGCTACCAGAGGAGGAAGGAGGTGCAAAACTTTTTTTTTTCTGTAGAGATATGTAGTGGAGTTATAGTTACGCTTCCCAAGAGGCGGGCAACAAAAACCGAATAATTCTAACCAAGGGCCGCAATGCATCATGCCACCAGCGCGCAGGCCCAACACGACGGAATTTAAAGGAGTGTCTTATAGTCTGAGTCACGGGCCAATTGTGTAATACTATGCAGTGGGAATATTTGTTTTGTTATTGCTTCAGAAGCTACGTGTCAGTTGTAAGTAATGGCATACAGCTTCTTTCCCAAGTTTCTAATTAGAGTAAACAACAATTGTCCAATGTTAATTAGTCTTTCAAAGTCATTATGAAGAAATAAGCTTTTTATCCCTCTCTTTTATCAAACAACAACAATAATATCACGAAAACTGACCCTTTTGAATTAAGCCCCATTCAGATGACACTAGCACTGATGTTTTGCTTGTTAGGCTGAACTCAGTCTGCCGTAGGATTTATTCCAAAGTAAAAACTACAATAACGTCGCTGATAACATTACCCAGTTATTGGTGCTATGTACATAGCTTTCGTGTTGATAGTCACTATTATTAGGATGAGTGATCTTTTACCCCACAGTTCAAATAATGGGAACAGGCCAATTATTTTGTTAAAAAAAGTCTAAAATTATCCTAAAAAACAAAATTAATAAAATGTTCCTGTTTTATAAGAATACTTTATAACTGATTGCAATGGAACTATTTATAACGCCTGTCTTTTGGACTGATTGAACACAATGAAGGACAAGGATTTCAAGTTTTGTCATCGTTTGTCCGACAAACTGTTAACAACAATGAATATTTTTCTTACTTTCCTATGATTGGTATAGTTGACATTTCTCTTTATGGTGTTACTAGTGGGGCTCCTGTACTAAGAGAAAAATATTCACTCATATATTGAGCTAAAGACAAGAATTCTAGAGACACGTGCCTCTTTAAACGTTTTCGCCGAACCGTTTTGCTGCCATATGGAGGACGTATCCTAGAACATCACATCACAGTGGACAGCTGCAAATTAAACACGTGCCTTTTCATAAAATTTATTCTCGTTTGTGTAGAAATATTTAAGAAAAGGTAGTTAAGGAAAAGGAAGGTAAGATAAAGGGTTACTTGCTTAATGATATTTATTCTAATAGCCGAAGGTTTTCCTGGCCCTGTAATGATACCGATTGCTATGATACGAAACGGGACTGAAGCACGCGCTCAGTTACGTTTCACTTGAATGTGTGATAACCTTCATACAGTATTTCTTACTTTAGGAAGGTATTACGGAAACGTTTGCCTTGAGGTAGCCAAATTCTAAAAATTCCTATGTTTTTTTTCTCCGCATGAACTCTGGATTAAAAGTCGTGAAGTTATTTCTCATGATATTTCCGGTCAACAAATTAAGAGCCATTATTGAAGGAGTTGTTATGACCTCCACCTTCACCTTGTGCAGTCCTTCATTTGTTACCCGTGAATGTTTCCAACTCAATCCGGTTTTCAAGGAAGGTAAGGTCAAAGTGCTACACATATGGAAGACACATGAAAAAGTTTAAAAATCCATCAAGGACACCCAACCAAGTGCCTTTTGGAGAGCTCTAAATACGCTGGTCCACCTAACATTAACAGCGTAACTTTCAACAAATTGTTGGTGTTGAAGAGTACTGTTTTCTGTAATAAAAAATACGGGTCTAAAAATTAGATCCGGATATTTTAATATTTATTTTTCATTAATATTTTTAGGGATGCTTTAACTGAGTCAGCTGCACTTTACAAATCGTGCAAAGAAAGTAATTTGTCATAAATTTGCCCTTCTCTTGGTTTGCCCGTAATTTCCTCTTCTCTGCCTACACCAGCACTAGTGCCCGGAGTTCTTTGCACGTTTCTTCCAATAAATTGTGACTTCACTTTGAAAACTAAGAATTGCGAAAAACGGCGAATGTGCAACCATCATCAGGAGGCCCTCGCCATGACTTATTTCCCGTCGATCTTATCAATCTATTTTGGTTAATGTTGTTTGTTGTAACCTCCGACATTTTTTCAGGTATGCACTTGCGTACGTGCAAACAGCTACAGCTCGCTAGCTACTCACGCCCCGCATTCTCCAACAGTTTGCACGGTTTATAAAAAACACATCACTTTCGTTTAACATCGATTAATTTGAAGTTAGCTGACATGCACATCAAATGAGTTATTACGTCATTTCACTAACTCTGCCCAGGGCAAGTATATAAACAGATTTTCGTGGTCAATCGGTTATTGCTGCTTGAAAACTAAGTTCGTGAAGGAATTGAATTCAATACCATTCTATAACACCTGCCATCTTAAAATAGCTTCAGTGTGAACTGTTTTGCTACAAGACTTTATTAACTCTGTAAGGTACAGGATCGAGGCCAAGGAAAAAAGCTCGAAAATCTAATGTGTTCACAAATGGCTATTTCGTCCAGCTTTGAATGTTAATTTAAAATTTATGTTCAACTAACAATATTTTTACTCCTGCAAGTATTGAGTAAAAAGGTTTGCGAAGTCTTTCATTTGCAAAGTCAATTCCGTACAATGAAATGTTTGGTTCTACTCTGTGCGCCAACCCAATTTTTTAAGATGTGTTCATTTTTTTTTGCATAAAATAAAATTCCAACTTATGAATTTGTGGATGAAATCGAACCACATCATGACAATCAATCATTCCATGCTGATGTTTTACTAATTTTCTTCACTCTATGAAAATAAAGATCTTTGCAAGTTTGTTGATGAAGAACGTTATCATTCTAGCGAAAGTAATCGAATTCAACTATTTAAATCGTTTCAAGCCTGGGAAACTTTGTTTAACACACAAAACGTTCAGCTCCACTATTAATTAACTATTTGTAAAATAGCTACTTTCAGCAGTTGCGTGAAACCAGGCTAAAGCCTATTTTATTAGTGTAAAGCCTTGAAACTGGCATTTTGCGGAGCCGGGAAACGATAAAAATGCTTGCGCAGGCACCTAAACTCAGGTGCGATATAGACCCCCCCGGGGGGGGGGGTTAGTCTAGGAGCTGCTCGTGAAATGTCTCCTCATTGGTCGCAGGAAACAATGACATGTCATTCTTCCAATTGTTTTAGTATTGTTTGGGGTCAGGGAAACGCACCATTGGTTACTTCTCTTCCGCAGCTGCTACATGCCCAATATAGCCAGCACTGCCACGATCATGTTAGGAACTGTTTACATCAGGGTTATGGGCTCTGTTTACGTACGGTGATTTAAAATCATCACTAACTCAGTAATAAAATTTCAAAAGAAAAAAAAACCTAATAAAACAAGGGCAAAAGCACATGACTCTTCTCTTAGCTCTTTCAACATGTCCGCGAGTTGGGCTTCCATCTTGATCTGCCGTGTTCTCGTATTCGTGTGCTCGCTTATTAATAGGCCATTTCCGAGTTCCACCTGGCCACTGTATCAAAACGAGGTTAAAAACTCAGCCTTTGATATAGAAATGATTATTTATTTTAATGCAAAAAAAAAAACTGATTTTCACAAGAAAGGTTGTGCACTTGGCCTCATTTTCAGTTGCCCAGTGTTTGTTTTATTAGGTTTTTTTGGAACTCGGAACGGAAGTGGCCTATTTAGATATAATTGATTTTTAGCGGGCTGCCTGCGGCACAGCCCAGTTATAAAACGGGCTCCTTGAGATCCTTAATTTCTCCTTCTAAAATCATTTTGTTTGAAAAGTAATATCAAGCATTCGACACAGCGTGTTTCACAGTGTTTCCAAAACAATTTTTAGCATTGATTGACCTATATGAAAAGATATCTCTTGCTCTTGACCGCAATGAACATTGCCATTGGCGTTTTCCTTGCTCTCTCGAAGGCGTTTGATACTGTTGATCATAATATCCTTCTTCACAATCTCGAACACTATGGTATCCATGGCATGGCCGTGGACTGGATTAGGAACTACCTCTCAAACAGGTTGCAATTTGTTCAATTTAACGATCACTGCTCCTCTCCACAAACGGTCCGTTGTGATGTCCCCCAGGGATCCATCTTGGGCCTTGTTTTTCTTGTTGTATATAAATGATATAAACAACGTATCGAAACTTGCCGAACTCATTTTGTTCGCTGATGATGCTAATTTATTTGCCTGGCTTTCTCAGCTAAATAATATAGTGAGATTTACTATTCGGTAATAAATCGGCCCCTTTAGGGTCGTTTCTGGCCGTAGAAGAACTTGTCGTGTCAGACCAACGTGGCTTCTCTTCGCGAAATATATTATTAATTATATGGTGGTTTCAAAATGGAAGGAGACTGAACCGTGAAGCATCCTTACTGCCCTTCTATTTGGTTGCCATATTGAGAGTTGATAGTTGATTCCCTGTTTCTTTTAATTTCCCAATTCTGAGCTCGCCCGTCACAGTGGATGGAGTGAGCGAATTCAATTACACGTCAGAGATTATGCGTCAGTCACTATCACTATGATCATACAATTTGAATTGCCTTATAGATAAGTATTTTAATCGAAAAATCTCGAACTATGGAGGTTGTTTGGGCTATCATTCACAATCCATATCATACGATCATATCAGCCCTATGAATTTTTAAATTAGTTACAACTAACGTGGATCTAAAGCCATAAGAAAGGAAATAGGAAATAAGTGGTTCAAGAAAATGGGGTCATTATTTAAGCAATAGACAACACTTTCTATGGGTTTACCGGCATGATAACCCACGCGGGATGTTGGGAGAACACGAGAAAGGCATGACTCAAAATGGAAGCAACAGAAATTAAGAACGTTCCGGTCCCGGCTTTTCCTCGGGCCGGAGATCACTAGAAACTACTTTTCAGTCTTTTTTAAGCACTTAATATACAATCGTTCCTGACCGCATGTTGACATCAACACCCAGTTTGATGACATGATCTTACAGCTTAGAGGAAGCGTTGATATTTGGCTGATATTATTTAAGCTGATATTTCGATTTACATACTGATATGATGCCCTACAATTTGTGTGAAAGGCAATGATTTTGCAATAAAAATCGATAAAATTCGTGTATATTATTTTCGAGCCAAGTCTGTTATCACCCACCCATTGAAAGCAATTAAAGAGAGAAAAGGTGAGTTTCACTCTGTAAAGACGGTAGAAATTTCTCACCTTAATTGATAGCTTTTTTCCTGAATCTCCCTTTGTTTTTTTCTTTAAAAAAAAATTCACTTTATTCATTTGCGCATGACAGAGGAAAGACAGAATGACGACTCGGTCTAATCAACAGACTAGCATTTATCTGTAACACTCATGCAGGATTTTCTAATTTTGCTGTTAAGGAGACTTTTGCTTCTTGTGGATGAGGCGTTTTTGTGTTAAAAATAAAGAAAAAATAAAAGTACAATAACAGCAACAATCAAAGCCTGCTTTTAATAGGTGTTTTTAACTCGGATGTGCATTTGCACGTTAGAGGACCTTTATTAACTTTGACAGATTTCACAATAGTATTATCCTAATTATATTTTTGTCGTTTATTGACTTTTGCTCGGCCTGTTTAGAATGCATTTAATCTTGTCCCTCTCTACCAGGGTTCCCGTATTTTACTGAAAAAAATATCACTTTTTGTGACAATAAAACTTTCTCGCGCTTTGTATTTATGTCTATTTATGTGAGCGACTTTCCCCAAGAACGACACGATTAAAGTTATGTTTTAAGCAAATATCTTAGACGCTGTTTAATTTTTTCACTGACGTTCAATTTCGTCTTGTTTTATTCATGTTTTTACTTTTAGGTCATATTTTGCTCAGACAAAGTGGATCGCAGGGCCGGCTAAAATATCAGTTTTCCTATTTTAGCCCAAGATGAAAGTCCGATATTAGAGATAAGATCAGTATAGAACAACTTATGTCTAAGTCGTTTTCAATTTAGTGTAATATTCATAGTTTTCATAGAAAAACTCACTAACTGTAAAGCAAACAAAACAGAATAGCATTCATTAGCTGTTAGTAGCAGGTATGCAAATACTTACGAAACCTTCTGCTGTAATTTACGACGAATTGTCCTCCCACAATGGATGTACTTGAAATGACAATATAAGGAGATTATGTTTTCGCTGACCGGTTTTATAAGCATAACGTGAGTAAGACAGGTGTAAATTTGATTTCTTCTTGCGTGGTAGATTAACTCTGCTTGCAGAATTTTCCCGAAGCTAACAAGGTAACCTAACAACTTCACTTATGAATAGATTTTTTGCAGAATGAGGTAGCTGATCGTATTTAAAAGGAAGCTACGTTTAACTTTCTTTCAGTCCGACCAACACGTTGGGTCCTCAAGACATTTTTTGTGCTGAATAACTCTAAAGCAGAGCAGAATCTTCCTTATATTTACAGTAGGATCTACTCCTTTGAGTACAATGGAAACCAATATCAGTGGAGAACATTTTCCAATGACTTTGGCTAATCGCACAGTGGCTTTGGCAGTCGCAGACACTGGATTTCTCTTTTTAATCAATATCGCAGCTCTTTTTGGAAATATAATCCTATGCGTCGCGTTTGTAAAAAACAACCATCTGCGATCGGCCACAAACATACTCGTTTTCGCACTTGCTGCCTGCGATATCCTCATGGCCTTTCTTGCCATGCCGCTATCAGAGGTATCTCTCATTGCTGGAAAATGGATCTTAGGGGATCACCTTTGCCACATCCAAGGGTTTCTTGTGCATTTTTTAGCATTCCTCTCCCTTCAGACAATGGCTTTGACAGCAATAAATCGGTATTTTCGAGTCATCAAGCCTAGATTTTACAGGAAAGTGTTCACCCCTTGTCACACGACGCTGATGATTGCTGTGGCGAGTGTGCTTTGCTTCGTAGCTTTGGCTAGCGTGACGTTCGGGCAGCATAACTCTTTTGTGTTCCATCCTGGAAAAGTCATATGCGTAACATTGCACGAAAATAGTTTCAGCAGCCAAGTGTTCACAACATTTTCCAGCGTGGCTTTTGTCTTCCTTCCTGCTTGTGTTATCATATGGTGTTACACCAAAGTCTTTAGGGCAATTAGAAGACACTTTCGACAACTGGCTTCCAGGAGGGTGTCAACCGTCTCCCTGAATAATCTAACTCCAGCAGAGATTGTTGTTACACGCACTGTTTTTGCCATTGTTTTAGCATTTTTCATCTGTTGGATTCCTTGTATCGTTATTGACATCATGGATGTCATGCGTGATGAGTGGTTCGATCGCCAAGTTTACCTGGCCTACACTTACTTTGCCTATACTTCAAGTGCCATAAACCCCTTTATTTACGGGGTACTCAATAGGTCATTCCGCGTAGAATACCTTAAACTTTTGAGATGTCGCTGAAGTTCTTTTCAAAGAAGGAAAGTGGGATAATATCGTTATTTAAATAATGGTTTCACATGCGTCTCAAAAAGACACAATTCGGGGAGAAGCTAACTAAATGCCAATGAACATAGATTCACGTCAAAACGCAACAACCATCTTTACAAGAACAAGTCCTCAGTGATGTGATACGTATTATAATGTGCATATCTCCCAAATAGAAACGCAATTTTATCAATAAACGCTCATCTTTCCCATACACTGTGTTAAAAACAAGGGACCCAGGAAAGGTGTTAAAAGTGTAACGTGTACCGTCCTGTTTTAATGGAATCAATGTGTGCTCCATAAATGCCCGCCTTAAAAAGAAGACCAGTAAAAAAACTGAAGTAACTTTAAAAATGGAAACAAGCCAAAGCTGACAACCTCATTCGTAAAAGGAAGTATAATAATACTTAATGCTGTAATTGGCACATGCTTTTCAGGCATAGGAAACATTTAAGAGGGGGTTCTTGGTAGGGGAAATTTTGAGTAAGTCCAATTCAACACACTACTAGAACTACCTTAAAGACGGACACGATGGACTGAAAAGATGTTGTTTACTTTCAAGTAACTATCCTAGTTATAAAGGCTTTAGACTAAAAAGCTGTCCAGCTTATTTATTCTTGTCTGTGTCATTCACCCACACTCACGCTTTTTTAGACTAATGAATAACAAACCAACCTAGATATCAGGGGCACCAAACGATAATATAGTTCAAAACCACTTAAACATAGCATTGTTAAACGTATTTTAGTATTTAAACGGTAGATATAGGCATATTTTTATCCCCTAAAAATTTTTCATCTGTTCGGATTTCCTAGCTGAAAGTCTCGAGATCCGAAAGTCATAGGGATCAAAACTTCCCTTTTCGAAAATTTCAGCCAGAAAAAAGGCTCCCGAAAATTCTAGGAGAGCTTTTTAGGGTAAAAATCCGTTAAAAATGGGCAATTACACCAATTTTTAGATGTTCGAAAATCCTAGGAGAGGTAGGCAAGCAAGAAATTTTACAAAAAATGTACCGAACATTCTAGATCTCAAATCGTCTTCCGAACAGATGTTTTCCGAAAATTGACGTTGGGTGCCCCTGACATATTTCTTCTTCCTTTTTTCTGTGTGTGTGTGTGTGATTATAGCTTCATACGGAATCTTATAATTTTCCGGTATGATGATAACTTATTGGAACCAAGAAAAATGGTTTAATTAATACAATTCGGTAGTATTTCAAAATTGAAAGCAAACTTGTCATCACAACGGTTTGGTTTGGCTCAAAACTTGGACCTGCATTGAATGTACCTATCAAACTATTGTAAACATTGCACATTAAGTGACAAGTTTGTCGTTAACACACCACATGTTTTTCAACAGTTTTTCACTCCTTAGTGAGGATTTTCCGTTGTTATATTGGACTGTTTCTGGAGGATTAATTAATTCACATTAATTTACTCTTTCACCCGGTGTCATTCTGCTAGACAGACACGAGTTTCAACGACCATAAATTAAAACTTCTACAAATTGTCCCTTGAATATAACATGCATCGGATATTACCCTAGCTATCAGATGGACAACTCTGAAACGTACGGTATTGTGTTATGAACCTGTAAATAATTCGGAAGTGTTCCCAAGAATTTTGCTAAAATGTAAAAAAAAGAAATGCACCATTAAAGTTTTTAAGACTGAAATTCATGTCTGTTGAGTTAATTAAGTTCTGCTACAACCGGCTTCTTTTAATAACGTTTTTCACCCAGAAAAATAAAGTTCGAAAATCCGATCAAAAAATTTATTTTGCTTTTTATTTATCATGTTTTAGTCAGGTTTATTATTCTGTACTTATTGCGGCAAATACGATCTGTATGATAAGTGATAACTTGTCAATTTTACTTCTTACAATGGCAGCCGTGGCGATGTGGTAAAAAGAGATATTACGTGACTTTCTCGTATTTTTATTCTCGCTTGTGAGTCAGCTGCGAGACTCTAAATGCAAGCGTTTCTTTTCCTTTTTTTTTGTCGTGTGTGCGCGCCAAAAGGGTAGTCTCAAGCGTTCCTAGCAGAGTCAGCTTAGAACCTGGAGATAAGCCAGAGTGGCAGCGTGATGAAAGTTATGCATAGAAAGTTTACAGAGTATTAAAGATGTCAACCTTTTCCGGAAAGTGATAACTTTAGTGGTCGAAAAAAGGAAGAATCTTAATAAGCAAAACTTTGATGGTGAGGCCAACTGGTCGGGTGTTGTAAACTTTCATTGTATGCAAATGAGTCTTGTTATGAGCATGCGGTTTATTTTCGGCGTTGATTGAAATGACGCGCCATGTTCATCACGTTTTTGATGTAATTTCTCTCGAATCGAGGCCCTTGTTTTTCGTGTACTTACACACGCGTACTCACAAATCGTCCAATACGATATAAAAAGTAAATATCCTGAATAATACTCGACCGTCTATAAAGGAGGGAGTGAAAATTTTTTAGCGAGGAAATCCTGTTTCATGTAGAGTTAATCGCCCCCTCATTTCTTATCTTATTTCCAAGCAGTCGAGACTAAGGATAAAAGAGCGTTCTTGTCTTGTTTTTTTTGTTTCGGAAAGGCTGTCTTTCAACGAACTTAGGAATCGATTATTCTAGAGACCTCTGAGTCAAAATGAAAACAGATTAGGTTATCGCCTGCGGAATAATTCATTCTTTCCGGCAAAATAAGCCAAATAATACAATTACTTTCAACAGGCCTTTTCTACGATTCCTCCCTAGATACATTTTAATAAAGCAAGAACGTTCCATTATTAAGTATTGATTGCCTCCAAGAAAAAATAGAACCTCCTCCCCTCTGTTAAAAAGTTTAAAACCTTTTTCTGAGAAACAATGCTTTTTTTTTTTTAAAAAACAAGTTTTTGCATTAAATAATGTGTATGATTATTATGGCTCTTGGTATGATCTTAGCGTTTGGAGGAAAATAAAATTGAAACACTCTATGAATAGCTCAACAATCTAAAAAGTGCATGATCCTAGAGTTCCTTTATTTTTCCCTTTAAAATACATAAAGACTTTGTCGGCCTTCATTAGAATTCTAGCAAAAGCAAGTAAGTGGTAGCAATAGATCGTATTTGGCCCTGGCGTGTGCGTAATAGAGAAGGCCACAATCAATAAAGTTAATTAATATACCGTAAAATTCCGAAATTAAGCCCCGGGGCTTATATTTTTCAAAGGCCTCTTTTGAGGAGCTTATTTTTGGAGGGGCTTATATTCGGAGGGGCTTATCTAAGGAGGGAAATTTGCGTTTCAAAATCGATTGAGCTAGCCTTATAGTTGGAAGGAAATTTACCGTTTTTGCTTTGTTTTACTTTGTATTTGAGGGCAATTTCCAATTACAAGCCCCTGGGGGGCTTATATTTGGAGGGGCGATTTAACGGAGGGTTTTTTGCGTTACGAATTTGGGGGGCTTATATTTGGAGGGGCTTATACATGGAGGGGCTTATTTTCGGAATTTTACGGTATAGTCCCCCCAGAAATCCAGCTCGTGATATATTTTCACTCAAACGAACATTAACAGGAGGCACTAAAATCAGTAAGGTCCAATTTGAAGTCGTTGCCCTCCAGTCAAAAATTCATTTATTATTCTATTTATACTATACTATTAATGGTACAATATTTTCTTTATTAAAAATACAACAATGATTTTTCAGACGTTTTCATCAATGCAACAAATAAAATCATTCCTGTTCTTAAACTTGACACTAAAAAAAAATAAAGTTGTCTTTCTAGCGTTTTCAACAAGTAAATCGGTTTTTCGAACTCTGATTTCTTTCCAAGTTCTCAGTACTGGTGCTGTCACCATTGTCTTTAAGCGTTTCGTCCATTACTAGGAATCGTTCCTGAGCTTATCTTCAAAAAGTAAAATTCTGTTATCAATTGTTTAAAATTTCCAAAATGCAAATAGCTAATACGTAAATAGGTTAATGTTTAGGTTTAATTGAAGAATCTAACTTACCTTTATTGTGTTACTTTTGAAATTGCAAGCGCTTGACGTTAGTTAGTATTTTAATAACTTAGTTTCCTCTGTTGTAACTTTTTATGTATTTTTATCAAATGAATACAAACCTAATTATTATTATTATTATTATTACTATTATTATTATCATTACATCAAACTGTTCAAGTTAGATTTGCAAGACACCCTTTATATAAGGCAGCATAGAACCAGGCCCAGGTCAGACGTCGTTTCAGAGTTGAACCAAATTCAGGATTTACGAGGGTCTGAATGGGGGGGTCCACTTGTCGGTTGTCGGTTAAAATTTAGTTACTTTGTCGGTAGTCGGTTAAAATTTTCGATCTTTGTCGGTTGTCGGTTAATCTCAGTTAATAAGTAAAAATGCATGTTAATTATTAATATTTGTTGCGCGTTTCACTCAGTTTCAAGACTCTGATCGCTATAAAACATGTACAACTTGTAAAAATGCAGCATCTGATTGAACTTAAACTTCATTATGCAACATGATAGTGTATTTCACCAAAGCTTTTATTGCAAATGCGAACTTGGTTTCCCTGTTGATTACAGGGCACCATAAAAAGTAATGAAGAGAGGTTAATTGGACACAGAGGGAAACGCCCACTCTAACCTTTTGGATACGTAAATTATTTTTGGTGAAAAACTGCTACGGGTGACAGGTTGCACATCTATACCGGCGTGAAACCGTGTGTTGACCTTTAATATTTTGGCTCTAACAAGCGTGTTCTTTGCCATGGTTTTCCTTTCTTTTAGGAAATAAGGGGTGGTTCTTTAAAAAGTTAGCAAAGTAGCGGTTGGTTTTGTATGAGATTCCACTTTTCCATTAAAGCTTCTTTTACAGTAGACACTAAGGGCTGGTATTAGGGAACTTAAGAACCACGACGACGACTTTGTC